GAGGAGGAGAACATGGTCCATTACACGAGTTCCTGGGTTTGTAACATCATTCACATCAGCCCCTGCAAGGGAAACTCCTGCCACCCTGCATCCCTCCGCTGCCTGGAGGTCACCATCTCTCTCCGAATGCAATGGACCAGGTCCAAACCCACAGCCCACACGGCAATGACACCAACACCTGAAAAGCCAGAAATAAAAAGCAAGTCTTAAGGTATAAATGGTGAGCCCCACTTCCTTGCCCCACTTCCCCTCTGGGGCAGTCTGTTAAAATTACTGCACCATTCTCCATTAGCACCTATGGTGTGACTCCCAGGTGTGTCCTGTGAAAGACTAAGAGTTGGACTCGATGATTCTTGTGGTGGTCCCTTTCAACTCATGATATTCTACGATTCTACAGAATATGTTTTAAATCACCTCCTTCCGTGAGGTTTTCCAGAGCCTTTGGCAGCAATTACTTTTCCACTCTGAGACAGCCTCACCTGCAGCACAGGTTGCACAAATAAAAGCTCCCGCTGAGCACAGGAACTGCACTGTGGGCTCGGGTTGTGCTTTGCTCATCGTCTCGCAGGGCATCGGTGACAGGAATTGCTGCTGACAGCGGGTATAAGAGACGGACTCCTGCTGCCGCAGGAGCCTGGCCGGGGGGAGCGGCAGCGGCGTCTGTCAGAGCCCAGGAATACAAAATGGGTTTCAGATGGGCCGCTGCGGAGCGGCTCCCACAGCGCCTCGTACAGACACAGCAGCGAGAGGCTCGGCCAGACCCGCCGTCCTGCCGAGCATCCCCCCCATCCCAGCACGGGGCTCTGCAGCATCCCCCCCATCCCAGCACGGGGCTCTCCTGCGTCGCTCCCGCCTGGGAATGCGGTTCTCCTGCATAGCTCCCATCCCAGCACGGGGCTCTCCAGCATCGCTCCCGGCATGTCATGGCACTCTCCCACAGCTCCCAAGCCAAACGTCCCAGCTCCTGCAAGGACAAACCTCAGCCTGCACAGCCCGAGCTAGATTCCCCATCAGATTGAATCAAGGATAGAAGAGAAGAGCTGCATTATGCCAGCTCCAGACCCAGCGCCGCCCACCCTCCCCATCCCTTCCCCAAACAGCCAGGTACCAATGGCTTTATTAAATTCTGCTTTATTTTTCCCTGCTGCCCTTGCCTAGAGGGCTTACAAGCAAGACCAACGTGGGTAAGCCCTTAAATTCAAGCAACACGACTCGCTTATATGCCATCACACCCCACACCCTCCCTGGCACCGTTCTGCACCACAGCCCCGCAGTGCCCTGCCAAGTCACCGGCTTTCCCCCGTGGCTGCTGCAAAGGTCCAGCTTGTGTAAGAAGGAACAAACTGGCTTTTCTTCACCACCCTTTCAATGCTGCCATTCATCCCCTGCCCTCCATCCTCCCAGTGCCACCTTGAAGGATGCAAAACACACAGCCAAAGCACTTCATTTCATGTTATCCCAGGGCAAATGTTGTCCATGGGTAATAGATCTACAGTTTCGTCCCCATTAAGCACAAGTGAATTAAAGGGTTAAGGCAAAAAATACAGAGATGCAAAGGTACCCGTGTGTTAAGGACACTCCTACCCTGGCAAAGTCATGTCACTGCTCAAAAAGCAAAGAGTTCTGAGACTTGACAGCCCCTTCCTGGAGGATGCAGGGGCTGCAAAGCCAGGTCACATGAATCCCACTGTACCAGTGAATCCGGCATCTGACAGCGAGGGACGGAATCTGTTCAATGGTTGTGTAAAGACTTTGGCTCTGATGCTGAGCAAGCACTAAAGCTGGTTTTAGTTCTACCCAGCTGGAAACATCTTGGTCAAACCCCAGGTTATTTTTGCATCTGCACATCAGTTCTGCCTGGTTAGAGACTCCGTGCTGACTTTGGCCAAGTGGTCAACCCCAGGGAAAAGCAAGCCAGGAGGGGAACAGGACACAGCTTTGCAGGCTGAGCATGAAATGACAAAGCCAGGTTTATTCAGACACAAATAGGCAGCTTCAAAGCATTTTTCCACCCCTCATAAAATCAATACTAGTATCATAACCATCTACACTCCAAGATTTTTAGCCCTCTTCTGACTTCAGGCCAGCACGGATGCATTCTGCCTGCCATTATTTGTCAAATATCAAGTTCCAACTCCTTTAGGAAACCAGGGGGGAAGGAAGCATGGCTGGCTGAACTCTTTGTCCTTCTCCCCCCCACATACACACTTTCACATCATGAGAACAGAGCAAGAAACCCACAAAAAATGCACATTCCCAAAGCCAGAGGCTACATCCCAGTTCTGGCAACCCAGTGGTCTCACCACAAAGCTCAGCACAGCCTGGATCCCCTTTGACTTCTTAACAATACATTCACAGTGGTGGCAGGGTGGGGAAGGAGGGCTTCAAAAGGAAGGAGCAGCAAGGAACAAGCTATTTTGAATCCAGAAGCCAACCACTGCAAGATGCACTCTCCCCATCTGAGCTTTACTGCTCCTCCCGGGCAAGTGCTTTGAAGCGTGGCAATGGAAAACGAGGAAAGAGCCAACAGCACCCGGCACGCTGGATGGATACGAGTCTGCAAACACTAAAATGTCTAAGATGTCAGTAAAGGCTGGGCTTGGTGGGGTGAAAGAGGGAAAGCAGAGAACACAGAGCCCTCAGCGGCCTTACCCCATCTGTACATTCTCCTGACTGCAGCTTCCAGGGAGGCTGATGAAGCCATTGGGATGCAGGCAGCCTGCAGGCAGCCTCACACATTTGGACTTCAGCATGATGCAGTACATTAGCACATATTAGCACATAAATCTGGAATTTACCCACTTTATCCAGCTTTAGATGGGGAGAGAGAAGGCAGCGTTCAAAGGTGTCCACAGTTTCCTCTCTCTAGCCAGTGTCAGCAAGGGAAAGGAGGTTTTTTTACTTCTACTGCTGTTAAATCACAAAGCAGCCACGTGGAGATGATAGACTCCCACATCACATGCACCAGCTGCTGGGCAGGATTTGCAGCCATTTTGCACCTTTTCTGCCAATTTCACAACCAGGCCCTTGCTGCCAAAAATGATGGTAACACTCTGCAGCCCATTCCTCCTCTGCCCTGGATGACCGACAGCCAGGCCTTGAAAAGATGCTCCTGGGCTCTTGCCTGGGACAAGCCATGGCCATGAATCACAGGACAACTGTGGCTGAGGAGGCAGCAGCTGGTTTGCAGTGTCACCAGGGTACAGCAGCCAAGCCCTGGTCGGAGGGGCAGGAAGAGACAGGACCAGATGAAGAGGTGCAGGGGAAGCAGCTGGGAGGAAGTTTGCGCAGCATCTGCGCCACGGTCCCAGCCACCCACGTCTACTCATACTAAACATCAATTACATGGAAATTAAAAGAGGAAAAAATAAACACTCTGAAAAGACAAGAGATGAAAACATCCACGCTTTATCTTTGAAGAGTGAGATGAACCCACCCTGAAGAAATGTAAATGTAGCAGGAGTCAAGACACTCCTGGGATTACTCATTACAGGAGACGAGATTCTCTACATCTTTCTGTTTTGCAGCAATTAGCTGGTAACTGGGAAAAAAATTGAATAGATCAACACTTTTCTATTATTAGTTTTAAATAATGACTCAGAAACAGGCACTTCCTTTTTTCCCAAGCTGTAAGGAGCTAGGCACCAAGACCCTGATAATGGCTTCAGGCTCATTTAAACTGCAAATGTCTCTGCAGAAATTACAGGAGAGCAGTGTGAATACAATGAGAAACAAACCCTTTGTTTCAAGTGGAACTACCAGCAATTACCTTTCATTTACAGGTTAAAAAGCTTGATGCAGCATAATTGTTAGGAAGAGCATGCAGTGCCAAAAAGATGTACGTGTACAGAAATTGGGGAAGCGAGGAGAGACAGAAAAAGTCATGCCCACTCATGGCCTTGGAGAGGAACTGAGTAAAAGGCCAATATAAAGAAGTCTGCCCAAAACACAGGGCTGCCTCCCAAGGCCTGACCGTGGACCTTAATCACCTTAATACCATCCACAGTGCAGGGAAATAAAGCATTTCAGCTCTGAAAGAGTTGCCTGCCTAATGTGCTAAGCAGACAGTTTTTGCAGAGCAATTCAGAAAGAAAAAGAGAAGCAGATTCAGCTGATGAGACACAAAAAGTCTCTCTAAAGGCATTAATTTCCTTTGGGAAGCAGCCCACATGCTCCTGGCACAGTGGAAACCATCACTCCTGCAGCAGGTCCCAGCAAGGCAGATGATCAAATCTGCACCAGTCACTTGGAATCAGCAGAAAGGCGGTGGATGAGGACGCAGTGTCACGAGCGAGAGCTGGCACGCTGAAAACAAACGAACTTGGAGTTCACCTTGACACCTGCTTATTGAAAGAAACCTTTTGGATCTTCTTCCAGGGATAAGCATCTGCATCCCTGCCACGTTCCCTTAAAGCATGCACAGGAATGAGGACACAGCAGAGCTCTCGAGGGACCTGCAGTGCACACAGCAGTGACCAGGACAGCTGGGCCATCCAAGAGCACACTCTGCCCCTCCTGCCTGGTCACAACCCCCAAAAACGTCAGGCACCATCCTGCAACAGGATATGTCAAGGGAGATGCTCCACACTAGCAAGGTATACAAGGGCTGAACCTCAGTTTTTTGGACAGTAGAGTCCCACACTGCTTTCCCAAAAGGTGAGGCAGTGCAGAGGTGCTGTGTTGGCCACCTGCATGTCCCGAAGCACCTCACAGGCTTGGTGTCACTGCTCCCAACGCCATTTCCTTCCCGTGACCCTGGCATCAGGCTCACCAGCTGTGAGCAGCACACGTCACTGGAGCCCTGGCACTCTTCCAGGACTGTTTGGCAGAGTCAGGCACTGACCCATCCCATCTGCCTTGAGCCAGCTCGGAGCTGACCACCAGCAGACCTGGCTGGTGAAGGCACCACCAACATCCCAGCTTCCAGAGAGATCTGAGTGCTCTGCAAACCTCAGACCTCCAAAACAGCAGCCCTGAGACAACACACAGAGGCAGGTGTATAATTTCTTGGGGGTTTCTTTTACTGGTTTTTTTTTTTATTCCTTCCCTTCCTTTGCCACGACACACGCTTTGTATTAAATATCTTAAATATATTAATTTTTAAAAAGTATTAATAAAAAGCTACTGAAGGACACAGTTGGCAGAGTGACCAAGGGCAGCGACCCATTGCAAAATATGGGGACATTTTAAAAAACAGAAGACCAATGATAACCGAAAAAATGGCATTTTTTGCATATGCACAGCTGGCTGGAATACCCTGGATTCTGACATTATTGCAAAAATGGAAGGGGAAGCAGTAGAAAAAATATATTCCGTTGTACCAACCTGTATGGGGAAGGGAGTTAAGAGCAAAAATGAGGAGGCTTTAAACATTTTTGGTATTTCAGATGTTCCCTCCCACACCCACTGCCCAATCACTTCTAGTCTTTAAGCAAGTTTTCTGGCTTGGGGTAGCCAAAGAGTACAAAATCTGCTTCGTAAAGCTTGTAGAGCTGCTGCCTCCAAGCCAGTGGGATTTTGGCAAACCAGTTATCTTCCCAGCTGCTGGCAGTCCTGTTCCTGTAGCTGGGTGGGAAGCGAAGCAGCCTGTCCACTTTGAGGAGCTGCAATAAATAAGCAGCATCCTCATCCAGCGTCTCCAGCTTTCCAATGAAATCATAGTCTATCTGGCACGGGTGGCACAGGCGGTAAATCTGCCTCCAGTGCTCATTGAAGGGGGTCATCTTCTCTGTCCTGGGATCCAGTAAGTACTGGATGAAGTCAGAAAAGGAGACTTTGAGGCCTGCCCCGAAGGCCTCGCTAACGGAGGTGGGGAGGTTGGTGTGGTTGGAGTAGAGCTTTAACATGGGGATGGCGAAACGCCGGTAGAACTCCTCGTTCTCCAGCTCAAATTTGCTGCGGAAGGCGGAGATGAGGCGGACAAAAGGGTCCCGCACAAAGAGGAACTTGGTGTACTTCTTCAGCTTGATCTTCATGAGGTGCCGGGAGAACTTCCCGTAGCGGCGCCAGAATTTGTTGAAGGTCAGGTGGGTGCTGGTGTTGTGGACGTGTTCCCGGGGGATGTCCAGAGGGTTCCGGTACGGGACACCCTGGTCCAGGAGGCTCTCACTGAGCACAATCATCACTCGTTTCCAGTTGGTGCAGGCCACCTTGGGCACGTAGCAGTAGATGATGCCGTGGCGGTCATCCACGATCAGGTGGTTGAGCTCGTAGTTTGGGATGTCATCAAAGGAGCGCTCCTTGGTGGGAAAGGTGAAGCTGGAATTGGCACAAAACTCCCGCAGCGTTCTCTGCCTCTCCACCTGCAGCTTCTCTTGGTCCAGGCTGTTCCTGTCCTTGTGCGTAGACCAGTCATAGCCCCGCACCTTCTCCTCCAAGTTACTCACCACAGGCTTGTTGGAGCCCTGGACAAGGAGCTGCTCTGTCTTTCGGGGGGTAGAGTTGTTCTGTCTCAGGCTCGAACTAAGAAGCTTTGCCAAAAATTCATCTACATCTGGCAAGGCTTCCCAGTCTTCACCTGCCGTGATACCGGGGATGGCTCCTGGGGAACGAGGCCTGGAGAAGGACGTGTGCAGGTAGAAGTGAGCTGTCCCCACGTTGTCCCAGTACACAATGATCAGGAGGATCATGAAGATGGAGACCAGCACCACAGAGAGACGGAGGAGCCGTGCTTTGGTCATCCTGACACCTACTGTGGTAGCTGACTTTCACCTGGATTCACCTCTGACTCACAGAGTGAGGCTTGGGATCCAGCATTGTGCTGCGGAGCAGGATCCTGGAAAGGCATGAGAAAAAAAAGTCAGTTGAGCCCTTAATCCCTCTGGTTTGGAGAGAACGACCTGGCACAATCAAGACTTGTTGTGGGGCCAGCCATGCCCATTTTCACACAGGGAGAACTCTGAGAGTACCCAGAGAGACCCTGTGGAGAAAAGTTGACTGGCCAAAAGGAGGCACAGTGTGTTGCAATTTTATCAGTTTCATAGCAATTGTGGCTTTTTATCAATCTCAAGCTTCTGGAATCACATGATTTCAAGAAAAGCTCTGTTTTAATTTAAAAAAATAAATAAAATACAATGATTTCAGGCCTAGAGCTCACAGAAGCAAGTTTAGAGTATTAAAATATACAACCGTATACAGGAAGCATGCAGAGCCAACCACCCCCTTGAATTTTACACATATCTAACACACAAGAAAAAAAGAAGGCTTAATCCATGATTTTAAATTGTGATATCACAATGTGGTCTTATCTCCCCGTGAAGGTGCTCTGTGCTGAAAACAAATTCTTCATTGGAGTTGTAAACACAGGACTGAAGATGCCACTGCCTCAGTGCCTAAAGCAAGTCCCTGCTGAGAGAACATCACTGACCTGAACACACCATCTTATCTACTCTGTGTAGATAAGTGTGAAGGCACCCAGTAGATGTTCCCTCCACAACCTTTCTTGATAGCTACTTCATTTTGTCAGGAACAGAGATTACACAAAGAGTTTTCTTACAAAAACCCCCAAAGGGACACAGCCCTGATAAGAGCCACTCATCAATAAAAATCTAAAGGAGTAATTACTTTTAACTGAATGATTTCTGAGATTAAGGATGCTCTGGTAAATCTGTGTTCGTGTTCAGACACTTGACTCGGGACCTCTTTTCCTCGTTTAATTAATCACTAAACTCTTGATCACCAAAGACAGTCATGAAATCACTGTTAAAAGGGCACCTCAGATCATCTGTTCTAGAAGGTGCAGCAGGTTTGGTTTTTTTACTTCAACCAGTCCCATCTTTTCACTGCTACCTTGCTTTCCACGTTGTCTCCCAGCCCCTTTCCACCAGCAAGATGCTCAAGGGAGATCCATCTCCCCACCCTGCTGCATGTTTTGTGGTCCAAGGCTGCATGCAGAGGCAGGCTGGCAAACCAGCCTTGTTCTCTCCCTCAGCCATCAAGGAGCCGGTGCCTCCAGCCAGGGAAGAACAACATAGCAAAGTGAGGAGCTAAAAGTAATCACTCCAATGTCCTCCTCCCCTCTAAGCACAGTCCAGGTCCTGATTGTAAACACAGAACAGCACCTACAGATAGAAAACAAGAACTGGCCTTTCTGCAGCCATCCCAAATCTTTCCAATGACTTCAGAACAAACCCTGCAAACAGCAGCTCTGAAAAACAAAGCCACTTCAGGACAAGCTGCCCTGAAAAACTTTTCAAAATGAAGGCTGGGTCTCCAAAACACAGAGGTTGCTCCCCAGCCAATTCACATCACCCCTAAACAACACCAACCCCACCCTGCAGAGAGATACAGAAGACCTCGAGTTCAGATATGCAGAAGTGCTGAGCTCTGTCATTCCCAAGGAAAAGGTGCTCAGCACAGCCTTGCAGCAAATGACCTGGTAAGGAGCCCCCTGCATGGCTGTGCTTGTGTCTCAGGGGTGCCAGATTTTAACAACCAAAAAGTCCAGGTTTGAAATATTAGACAAGAATTTAGTTACAAACAGGAACAATACCAGATAGTGTTGCATGTTGAAGCATTAGGTCAGCTTGTCCCAAAAGACAGAAAACACAGATCTGAAGGCTTAGGGTTTCTCCACCCTGGTGTATTTATTTACAATCTGGAACTAGGGAGAGCCAGAATTTCAGCAGAGCCATGGCCCAACACATAACTTTGCACTGCAACACCAAAAAGTGCCTTTTCTGGAGCCAGGCTCTTATTCTGCCTGTGAAGAGGAGCTGGAGGAACTGCAGACATAAGGTTTTACAGTCTGCAGAGCAAGAAGCAGGTATTACTCAGCAGTAATTCTCTACGTTTAGCTAGTCAAGACTGAGGATGGAGCAGACCTAAGAAGAAACACCCAGAGAGATGAGCATGGAGCTAAAGAAGGGCCAAATTACATATGTGCGTCAGCACTTCAAGCCAAGCATCTCCGTCCAGCAGCAGAAGATAATGGAGGGACGCTGCCAAGCCTTCTGCTTGGCACACTCCTGGGTTTGCATTTTGCCCAAATCTGTCCTTGCTTTCGAGCCCATTTAGCTGCTCAGGGCAGGGACTGCTTCCCACTCTGGATGAATAGGGTGCCCACTGCGCACATAATCCCAGCACGCTGTGTTTCCAACGCTGCTTGAGACCTCTAGGCTGGTTGGAATGCAGCAAGCCTGGAAAGCTGCACGGAGCATCCTTTTCTGCTATCCCTACACCCAGCAGGTTCCACAGCCCCAGGCAGCACAGCAGCCTGCTGACATTCCTGCAAAGCTGTCCCAGCCCAGGCGTGGACAGATCGCCCTCTTGGCAGCAGTGACAGGAGCAAACGGGACATTGTGTGTGGCACACACATTCCTGGGGCAAAGGGAAGGAGGGCTCTTCCTCAAAGCCACCATCATAATGCAGCTTTACTGAGAGCACCCCAAGGGCTCTAGCCTGCTTTCCAGGACATGCACACAGGCCTGCCAGAGAGTTTGGCTTTTCCAAGACACACAGCAGTGAGCAGCAAAGGGCTCCACTTCTATTAACTCTACCAGTGCCAGAGAGGAGCCCTGGAAAATAGCAGTAAAACAGCTTAATTCCCCCTCGGGAGGAAAACACTGCAGAAAACAGAGTTACTCTATTGACTACGATACATCCTCTTCCTGAGCACTTCATAAAGGACGCCAAACTGAAAGGACAAATTACAGGTCTCTGTGCACATAAGAGGGAACATGTCTCTGTCTTCCCCTTGCCAGAATCAAAAGGAGAAGTCTCCAGAAAGAGCCAAGAATTTACATTCAAGTTCAACCCAAAGTCACCAGCCAACAGGAACGTGCACCCGGATCCACACAAAGCTGCCTCTGTGACACGACGCTGGCAAACTGGGAAGTGGACCAAGTGCTATAATCATCCTACAGAGTCCCCTGAGCAGCCAGCCCATGACCAGCTCCAACCTGAACCTGGCCTGGCTATGAACCAAAGAGTCTTCTCCCGAGCTCGAGCCAGACTCTGAGGTCACTGTTCCCATTCTCTCCTATCACAAGCTGCCGTTTCAAACAATCACCTCTCAAACTTTCATTTAACACCAGAAAGGAGGGATGTGTCCCCAGCACTCTTATTGCAAAAGCTGTTGCAGATGCAACTCCTCGGGGATTTGGAAACCTTATTTCCACTTCACAGCCCGATTGTAACTGTTTATTCTCAGGGCAGATAACAGCTTAAGTAATTTGTGTCTCTTTTTTCCTCTCTTCTTGGCTTTGTGCAAGGACTACATTCTTTCACAGCCTCACCGCAAACGGAAGTAACTCCATCTCACTTGCAGGAGCAGTAGGGCCTACAGAAAATAAAGCAGCTTACACAAAGCCATGCACCAGAGACAAGGGGCAATAACCCCTCTCTGTGAACAGGCATGGTTTTGAAATGAGTGTGCCTCCAAAGGCTTGGGTGCAGATCTCATCTCTTTGTATTTCCCCAGGCTTGTCCCTCTCCCACAGTTTCCCCCCAGGGAAGCACATGGCACAGGTCAGGCACTAAGTACCAGCTCACCTCCTCCAGCACCCACTCGTCCTAGCAGGTGAAGATATGGGATTTCAGGTAGCTTGCTTGGGCTTTACCTCCTTCTGAAGACAGAAAGAAGTGGAATAAGAACTTTTAAAAACATACAATCCCCCCCCCAAAAAAAATTGAAGTGGATATTTTTCCTTGGAGCGCCTGCATTTACCATCAATCATCGGACCCGTGCAGCCTTCATTACCCACATACCATTCCACACACCTGGCACCAGTTGCACTTAGGGAATCATCAGCCTCTAGAGACATGGAACCAAGTTAATCTCCTAAAGGTGCAGGAGAACAAGCTACCACCAACCAAAGCAGACAGACTATACCAAGAAGCAAATTTCATATGCTTGGCCATCGCTCACCTCATTGCTTCTCCCCAGCTTCCCAAAAGTCTAGCACTCTTTGCATAGCAGGGTGGTTTTAACCCATGGTTACATTAGTACTACTGCACAGCATAAGCAAAAAATAGGAATTGCATTGCATGTTTCACCCTGGACCCTGAACATTCTAATCTACAGTCATGGCAGCTGTAGATTGCTGCCCATTGCTGCCAAAAAAGCCTGGTTTGTACAGGTTTAGTAGTGCCAGTTGCCTCTTTTTTAATGCCCGTACTTGGAAGCTGTCACAATAACAGTGTGTCTAAAATTTCCAGTAGGAAACTCCCAAAACACAGCATGTCCTGCGTATCCACTACTTTTATCACAAACTTCCAGCACACGCATCTTCCCCGCCCTTACAAACGCAGGAAGCGCCTCCGGCAGCCCCGGTGCTGCAGCCCGGGCCAGCAACACGCCGGGATGCTCGTTGTGTGCCAACAGGGGGGCCAGAAACCAGCCCCCGACACCCGCACTGCCCGCGACCACCTCGCAAACACCTGATTCAGGCACAGTTTGCAGCCTGAGCTCGGCGGTGAAGTTTTGCGCGTGGAGTTCAGGCGGGATTAGCGGCGTTTTCCGCCGGATCTCCTGGAGCAGCGCTGAGAGCCGGGCTCTGCGCTCGGGAGGCGGCCGAGTCCCGGGATGGCTCTCGGTCGCGGCACCGGCTGCAGAGCACCGGGCAGAGCTGCTGCTTCCAGCCTCAGGCCCAGCATCAGAATCATTAAGGTTGGAAAAGACCTGTAAGATCATCAAGACCAACCCATTCACCAAACACTGTCAGCCCCGCCACCAAACCGCGACCCTCAGCGCCACATCCACGTCTGCCTCCAAGGGGACGGTGT